TGTTTTTATTTTTTTTTAACTTTATCCTTATCATTATTATGAGAAGAACTTTATTTCCCTTTTTCTAAAGCAAAATTAAAATTTCCAAAAATTTTTTTAAAAAGTAAAAATTTTTAAATTTTTTTTGTTACTTTTTCTTTTGCATTTTTTGTTTTTTATTAATTTAAATTAATAAAATAAATTTAACATTGCGATAAATTAATAATTGATAATGAATTGTAATAATTGAATAGGAAAAATTGTAGCAAATTAATGAAAAGTATTTTTACAGTTAGAGGCGGATATTCAATTTGTTGCACCGGCACAACGTGAAATTGACGCTTACGTGATGAATGGCATACCTGTTTATGCATATTCATTTAATTATTTCCCAAAATCAGCAATTTATGAGGAAGAACAAAAGAAATATAGCATTTTTGGCCAGGAAACATTGAAAGTGAAACGGAAAGAACTTCAAATACGACGTTTGAATTTTACTTTAAAAAAAAAGTTACTCTCAGAAATAGCAAGAGAAATATATCCGAGATATCGCAAATGTTTAATATTAATAACTTGTTTTTGTATCTGATTATGAAACGGAAAGAACTTCAAATACGACGTTTGAATTTTACTTTAAAAAAAAAAGTTACTCTCAGAAATAGCAAGAGAAATATATCCGAGATATCGCGGATGTTTAATATTAATAACTTGTTTTTGTATCAGATTATGAACTGAAATATTTTAATTTCCAACCCTTTTTTTCAAAATATATTTTAATCAGTGTAAAAATTTGCCGAACAAAAAAAAAAAAAAGTTGCAATGAAAGAAATGATTAAATTTATTAATTCATTAATTATTGCACTTTGCTAAATTAATATTTTTTCATTAGATTATCAAACATAAAATATTTTTATTTTATAAAAATAAAATATTTAAAGTTATTTTGTTATTTAATTTCTTTTATTTAAAGTCAAATTTTTTCATATTCTCCATTTTTTTAGTTATTTATTTTTTATTTAACACTGAAGTTATATCTTAATTGTAATAAATTATTTGACGTGATAAACGTGATAAACGAAATATTATATACCTTGAAAATAATTGAATAGAATAGGAATAAATTAATAACTTCATCGGAAATCAAAATCTGGATTATAGATAAAAAGCAATTCAAGTATCAAAAAGCATTTCAGGTATCAAAATACC